TAGCACAAAGGGTTCCTCAGACATTGATTTATATCTAACTATATTTTCAACAAAGTTTTTCATTCCATATCCTAGGACTCTTTACTGGGTGGGTTAAGGCTTTCAGGATATACAGATCCCTTTGTTCTTTCTCATTAAACTTAAATTTCTCATACTCCTTTTCCCACCAATGATTCCAGGTTCTAATTTGCTTTATAAGATCAAGCTTTTGTCTTTATGTTTAACAAACACAATGGCCTACTGCACCTTATTCTTTGCCAAAGCTTCAATGTGTCATATTTTACAAGCTTTCCATTTATTTCTGTGTTGTACGAACCGTCTGTTCGGCTGTCTGAGGAACTGAGACAAGGAACTCAAGAGAAATTATTTTTCACGGAGGATCACAGGACTCCCTCGGACAGTGACCAAGAGCAGCCTTCTTTCTAATCCTCCCATTTATTTGCTTTAAACAACTCCAGTGAAATTCAGTACAGTGGAAAGAATCAAAACAAGGAAATGGAAGTACAGGATGAGAATATATCAATATATGCATTGTTTTGCCCCGTTTAGAGGCAAATAGTTAACAATATCCAGGAAGGAAAACATAGTTACAAGAAGGAAAATTTGGTCAGTTACAATTTCCAGGAAAGAAAACATGGTGAGCACTAGGCCCCATAGGTCAGGACTTCCTCACACCTGGGGTCTGATAAACAGGAGAGGATGTTTACATCTAAAGGTTAGCTAGGCCTGAGATATGTGAGAAGGGGAAGCTGATTCTTTGTACTGTAGGAACTTGCTGGTCAGAGAGGGTCGATTTGGCCCTTTCCAGATCAATCCTATTTACAAGTTTAGGCTTGCCCACTGAGTGCAAAGTGGGGTCCTGGTTCTGCTTCCTGCTTGCAGGACAGCGTCCAAGGACTCATCCTCATTACCTGATTGGGCACTAACATTTCTACATACCTGTTTTCCTTTGGGCCATATGCCCCGGTTAAGGGTAGAGGCTCATCAGGGACTGTTTATACCTTTCTTCTGGGTGGGTACCATATTTTGTTATTAATCACGTAAGCAGGGCCATTTTTCAGTCACCACAGTGGCTACAGCACTTCTAACTCGGGGCCCATGCAGGGCTTTTCCTGTTTCTACTTTGTGTCTTTTGTATTTAAATTGCTTAATATATTTGGGGTTTCTGTGTATCTGTTGGCTCACATTCATAAATTTCCTTACTGACCTAGTTGGTTATCTTCTGCTGCGTGGTTTACGAGGGCTGAGTCTCCAGTCATCATATTCCTAGAACTCCCAAGACTAAACATACAGGTTAAGCACAGCACACACATTATGAGTCGACTGATCTCGAGAATTGGAAGGGTGAGATGTTGTCCAATTCCAGGAAGAAGCATTCCTTGAATGTCCTTCCACCATGTGTGGACCTTGTCAGACTACTGGGCTGGTAGATGTGGCAATGCTCCTTGGAGCATATTACAGTTCAGTGAGGGGTCAGGGAGTTAAATGAAGAATAACCTGGCCATTACGGAGGGAGCAGCAGAGATAAACATGACTTTCTTAATTCCCTCAAACCAGGGTCCTTAGCTAAATCTGAGGAAGGTAGAGATCAGGCTAAAAGGGAGGGTGGGAATTATTCTTAGCTGTTTCACTCTCCTTACATTTATTTGAAATATGTATTAGGGTGAGAGAGAGCGCCCAATAGACTGAGCTCGTGCTTTACATGCAGGAGACTAGGGTTTGACCCCAGCACAGTCCCCACTCCCTGGCATACCACCATGAGCAACCCCTGGGCACTGCTAGGTGTGGTCCCATAACCAAACTTCAATATAAATATACACATACCAGACACTGCTGGACATATGGAAATAGAACAGTCAGCAAAACCAGTGTGTCCCGAGGCTTAGTCAATGTCTTGCCATGGAGACGGTGGCATTGTCAGGCTGTGTTGGTCAAATGACGGTTGTCAGGCTGGGGAATGGCAGGTCATGTTTGTGTAGTAGAGAGGGCTGAGCAGCCCAGAGGTCTCAGGATGAGGAAGATTTTTTTTTTCCCTTTTTGGGTCACACCTGGTGATGCACAGGGGTTACTCCTGGCTCTGCACTCAGGAGTTACTCCTGGCAGTGCTCAGGGATGCTGGGAATCGAACCGGGGTCGGCTGCATGCAAGGCAAACGCCCTACCCACTGTACTATCTCTCCAGCCCCCGAGGAAGAGGAAGATTTCTTTAAGGTCACGGAGAAAGAATAGAAATCCCCTGCATGGCAAAGCCTGGCTAGCTACCTGTGACGTATTCGATATGCCAAACACAGTAACAAGTCTCACAGTGTTACTGGGCCCGCTAGAGCAAAATGGATGAACAACAGGAGGACAGTGACAGTGACAGGAGCTTCTGGTCTAAGTGAAATGAGGCATTTACTTTACTCAGGTTTGTCTTAATTGAGACAAACCTAACACACACACAACCTCTGAAGAAATAAGGTGTTACTTGGAGTTTTCAGAGATGAGAGAACGCGTAGGCTGGGGTGGGCTGACGGCTCTGGTTATGCTCCTTATCTGTCAGCTGTGGTGTTTATCTTGTTATGATGTCCCAGAGGCTCTTGTTGGTGGCTCTTCTTCCCTGTTAGAGCAGGATTCTAACTTAAATCATAATGTTCCCTCTGCCTCATGCTCCAGTGCCTAATTTCAGAAGCGGATTCTAGAGCACTCTTATTGGGAGCAATGCCTCAACCCTGACACTTCTTTCCTCTGACCTTGGATCTGTGAGTGCTACAGATTACCCCAGTGTTTCCAGTCTCATTTGCCTGGAGGCTTGGATTGAAGAGCTGTTGAAGGCAGCCCGATTACCGCCCTGTCTCCCCACCATCACCTCCATCTCCACAGACTTACTTATTCTCTTCAGTGGAGTTCTTATTGTGCATACTGCTTACAAGCTAAGACGTTTGCAAAATTTCTAATGCAGTATAACTTCATCGACAGTGTACTATGCAGTAACTAACTGAAATGATGAACTTTTAATTCTGTTTTGAAACCTAATTTATTAAAAGAAAAGTTGGGTGGGGGGTGGGGAGGAGAGAATGATGTAATACAACAAAGTCTCAAGACAAGCAATTCCCTGGTTGTCTGAGGTAATTGGAAAACTCAAGGCTAGTCCCTAAGGCATAAATAATTTATCCCACAGACTTGAAGAAGCTCAAGGGTTTTTTTGTTTGTTTGTTTTTTAATAGTATTTGGGTAAATGACAAGAACTAGAGTTTGAGGAGTATGAAATCTGGTTTATTCAAATGGATACCAAGGAGCAATAAACAAAAAATGCTAAGTAGATTTTTGTTCATGCAGCAAAATATGAAGTAGCTACTTATGTGCCAGGAATGACCTAGTACTACCTGGCAACTATGGTAGTTAATAAATATGAATCCTCACCCTCATTGAGAAGAGTGCTCCACATGGAAGGGCAGTGACTTGGAGACTGGAGGCTCCCCAGAGAGACCTGTTTAGCTGGGAAAAAGAGTGTGTGTGTGTGTGTGTGTGTGTGTGTGTGTGTGTGTGTGTGTGTGTGTGTTGGGGGGATGGATTTATACTGAAAAGGTCAGAGATCCTAGCGGTGCAGAGCATTAAGTCTCAGGTAGATACTGGCACAACTGCATGAGAAGGGAAGCCATTAGCTGGTATTGAGTCGGTATGGTATATGGTTTGTGCAGCCACACCCAGTGGTGCGTAGGGGTCCATGTGGTACCAGGAAGCAAAACCAGGGCCTCCATATGCAAGGCCTGTGCTGTCCTGCTGAGCCACATCCTTAGCCATGACCCGACCTATTCCTAAAGGATTTCTGGATGGTAGAGAGGAAGGCTAGAAACAGAATAGTTGACTCCAGGCCAAGAATCTTGGTGTCTCAAAGCGAGAAGGTAGCAGTGACAGTTGAGAGGGTGCTCAGTAGATGAATCTGGAAGCTAGGTAGGTATGCCTGGTGCCTCTCCAGCATTTGATTGGCCCACTAGATGCTACCGCACTCTGCCCCCATACTGGTGGAAAAAGGTTGTCTCCAGGACTTTACTGAATTTCCCTTGGGCAACACACTCATTCCTGGGTGACAGCCACAGATATCAATGCAGCAATAATGAGCCTAGATGAGCCATCTGATGCCAGGCTGACTGAGGTGAGGAGGAGCAGAGAGCTGACAGCTTGAGCACTGCGGGGCCATTGGAGTCTTAAGGATTGGTTAGTTCACCATCGGGCTGAAAGGCCATCTTTCCAGAAAAGGGTGAAATTACAGTGAATATCTACGTATTTTCAGCTACAACATAGCTTGTCCTTAACTGCATTAGGAGGAAATGCACCCTGTGAGGCCTAACAGTTAACGGATTCACTTACTTTATTTTTTGGTTTTGGTTTTTGGGCCACATTCACAGTTCTCGGGTCTTCCTCCTGACTCTACACTCAGGAATCACTCCTGATGGGGTGTGGGGGACCATTTGGGATCCCATGATTGAACCCAGGGAAACTGCATGCAAGGCAAGTGCCCTGCCCTGCCCACTGTGCTATCACTCCACCCCTCGCCTGCTTCTTAACACAGATTTGATTTTATTTAGTTTGGGGGGCCATACTCAATAGTGCTCAGGGCTTTATCCTGGCTGTGCTCAGGGATCAGTCCTGGCAGGCTCAGGGGACCAAATGGATTGCTGGAGATCAAACCCAGGCTTACCGCTTGTAAGACAGGCTATACTATCACTTTGTCCCTTTAATGCAGATTTTAATACTAGGGCTTCCTCTCCCAAGATTTCTCTTCAAATACTCATCACTAAGCAGTCATATTCTAGGAATGAAAGCTCTGGTCATTTCCTCAGTTTATAAGCAAAAATGAAGACCGCTTTCTACAAAGCAAAGAAGGCGGGGATTTGAGGGGGAAGGTCTCGAGTCTTCCTATCATGAAATAAATTTATGAGACTCTACTTCAACACCATCACTTTATTTTATCACTTGCATGTCCCGGACCACACTCTAGTAGTAAAGTGTACTAGGAAAAATAAAGTACATAAGGTGAAAGGAGATCTTTATTCTCTGGGGGGAAATAACTCAAAATATAGCTCAGGGAAGGGGAAAAATAAAAGTCGTACATCACAAAGCAAGAAGCTACGCTACTCCCAAGACCTCTAAGTTCCAGCAGCATAGGTACCTCCGTTCGGTAGCAAACTGAAGGGAGTCTTCCTCAGTAAAGAGAAATGCAGCCAAGCTCAGTGCTTAACCATCCCCACGAACAATCTCTAACTCACAAGAGCAGCACCTGAATTCGACAGGGTAGAAGGCACTTGGTTTTTAATTCTCTCCGTTTCTTCAGAATTTATCAAGGTCTGGAGTCCTCTGATAGGTGGGCATCATACTGGTTAACACACTGACCACAAACCCAGGTAGGGGTCAGAGGGCCACGGTCCTCAGCAGACTCCTTGACAGATTCTGCCCGTCTGTCCACGTGCACTCTGCCTTCTCATTAAACTTCCCACAGCAGGACCAGTGAGGACGGCCTGGGTGGCCTCTGTGTCCGTGACCACAACCCAGGTACCCACCTGCATGGTACAAAGAGAAGGGAAAAGAACCATTAGGGGGAAGCTCAGCAGAGACCGTGGAACCCAAAGCTCCTGAGCAACATCTGCACTCCAGGATGAGACAGCTCTTAAGATCCCAGTGAGGAGAAACCAGTGCGCCGACGCCCGTGGGCTCTCAGACCAGTGCCAGCCTTCAGGGAAGATGGGCTGCATTCTGCAAAGACCTACTGTTGTTTCTGGGGCTAGAGCGATAGCACAGCGGGTAGGGCGTATGCCTTGCAAGCGGCCGACCCCAGTTCAATTCCCAGCATCCCATATGGTCCCCTGAGCACCGCCAGGAGTAATTTCTAAGTGCAAAGCCAGGAGTAACCCCTGTGCATCGCCAGGTGTGGCCCAAAAAAGGTAAGGTAAAGGTAAAGGCCCTCCCGTTGATCGTCGATTTGCTCGAGCGGGCCCAGTAACGTCTCCATTGGAGACTTTGTTGTTACTGTGTCTGGCATATCGAATACTCTCGGTAGCTTGCCGGGCTCTCCGAGAGGGGCGGAGGAATCGAACTCGGGTCGGCCATGTTGGCCGCGTGTAAGGCAAATGCCCTACCCGCTGTGCTATCGCTCCAGCCCCCCCAAAATTTTATTTAGCTAATTCAAGGACATGACTGCAATAAAAGAGAAAAGGTAGTGGATTAGAAGTAAGAAATACAGTCATTTTTTAAGAAAGTGATCAGGTCTTTTGCCTGAACTGATCCATCCCTCCACCTCCACCCACAAGGAAAGAGCCAGATCTAGCTTAGTTGATTTCATACTTCATCCCCACCTAGCCCCATCCCTCCTTGTTTGGAATCTAAGGTCTTAAAAGGAAGAGGATGAGCTGATATGTTTTATGCTGCTCAAGCTGCTGGGAAGGTTCAGAGAGAAGTCGAGCATGTCCCAGAAGAGCCCAGGGCTCTGAGGATTGGTGAACTGCATCAAAGCTGAAAGAACGCAGAACTTAGAAGTCTGTTATTTTAATTTCCAGAACTGCACGAAGCACAGCTTAGAGCCACAGTCTATTTCAGAATCGAATCTAATCTTGGAAGCCCAGCCCTGTGGCTGTGTGGTGGCTTGGCGACAGCTGGGAGAGGGATGTTACCTGGCGACAGGCCGGGAGGTGGACATTACCTGGCATGGTGCCCCCGCAGGCACAGCGGGCAGTCTTCTGGCCTCCACTAGAACAGAATGAGCAGCAGTGGAAGACGCCAGGGTGTGTGCGCTGCCTCTTCCTCACGTTCACCGTGAATGGTGAGCCCTGTGGGGTTCACACCAAGAGCAGAGCACAGCAGGCAAGCGGTCAGCAGTGAGTAAGAACCTCTCACTCTTAGTGGTCCCTGCCCCCTGGGCCTGGTGCAGAGTGGGAGCAGAGACCCCCAGGGAGTGCACCAGGCACCCCACCCATCTGTGCCTGCCTCCTCATGTCACACCTCAGGAGCCACAGACACAGGCTGCTGACACCCTTTGTGGCCCAAAATCCTCTTCACCACATCCCTCCTCCCGTCACATGCTGAGTTAGCTCCTTTCCTCCGGTGTTCCAGATGTATCTGTTACCCATCCCATAGTTCTCTGACAGTCTGCGGAAGGGAGAAAGGCTAAGAAAGTGGGGTTCGAGCTCTCAAGTTAATAACTCTTCCTCTTGTCCCCTTTAAGGACCAGGGGGCCAGATCGATAGATCAGGTCGGCCGCTTGCCTTGCATGCAGCTCATCCAGATTCATTTCCCAGCACCACCTATGGTCCCCCAAGTACACTAGGAATAATTCCTGAGTGCAGAGCCAGCAGTAAGCCCTGAGCATCACCGGATGTGGCCCCAGAATAAAAATATTAAAGCAACGTTTTTAAAGGGATATCCTCCAATTTTTAATGTCTATTCTGCATTAAGCAAGAAGTATTCTTATGTTGCCATGTGCCGACCCAATGTGGGATCATGGTTGGCAAAGGCAAAAAGGAGAGTCTGGCAACTTCCTTAACCATCCCTTCCTTTATAAAAAGTTTATAATCTATTTTTAAAAACCCCTGAAGCTCAAAGAAAGGGGTCTGAGTTCTGCCTTCGCTATACAGGTACCGTGTATTTCAGCAAGTTTGATATCTCAGACTCACTGGATGATCGCGATGCCTGAATATCTGGCGGAAAAGTGAAATAACGTGCCAAGGCCAAGTACGTCATTCTGGCCTCCTGTCATGGGCACAGGCAGTGCATACAGAGTAAGAGCTTTCTGGGTGCACAGGACCCTAACATGTGAAGCCATATGTCTTTGGTGTTTTGGGTTTCTGTTTTTTTGTTTTTGTTTTTTGGGTCACACCCAGCGATGCACAGGGATTACTCTTGGCTCATGCACTCAAGAATTACTCCTAGTGGTGCTCATGGGACCATATGGGATGCTGGGAATCGAACCTGGGTGGGCCGCGTGCAAGGCAAATGCCCTACCCGCTGTGCTATCATTCCAGCCCCTACCTTTGTTTTTCTAAGGGGTCCTCCAGAGTCATGCCTCGGGGCCCAGAGGCCACTCCCAATAATCCTGAGCCCAGCTGTACTCACTGAAGGCTCAGTGCCCAAGCGTGGGCCTGGTGATGCGGTGTTGGGGAGCCCCTGGGCTGTACCAGATGAGGAAGTGGGGAAAGCATGTGGCGTCTGGGCTCACACTCAGGTCTGGCACAGGCAGTGTGCTCTAGGCCTCTAAACTATCTCCCTGGCACCTCAGTGGTTCTTTTCATTGTCCTACTCAGTGTTGCTCTCTGGTTGGGGCAAACCTCTTAACAACAGAATGTGGGCAGATTCTGCAAGACATTTCTGCTAAAGTGTAGTAAGAAAGAAAAAAGTATCCTCTATAATTGATCATCGAAGAAAGTCTCCCCATCTTGAGGTGACAGAACCTGGGGTGAGGGCAGGGGGCAGGCCACCCACCTGCACGTGCTGGTCCTTAACCCGCACCAGCACAGTATATAAGCCGGCCTCCTTGGGGATGTAGGAAATGTAATACGTCCCATCCTTTTTATCTTGGACCATTGTTCTGACCGGACTGGAGCTAAGGGTCCAAAAACAAAAACAAAAGAACAGCTCATTCACTCTCAAAAGTCTGTTTTACTTGTCCATCATTTTAGGAGCTACATTCTATACCGTTAAATTTACTGTCAATCATAAATGTCTCCCAAGCAAAATGTCTCTGAAATAAATTTTGCAACAGAGGGTGGGCATCATAACTGCTGAAAGAATCTGTTGCATGGCTGGATTCCTTGAAAACGTGACTGCATTCGCTCCACTCTACTGTGCCGTCCTGCCCTTTGGGTCCCTCCCACACCTCTAATTCCAGAGACACATACATCTCTACCCAGTGAAGCTGAGCAGTAAAATAGGGCTGTCACTGTCACTGTCCTCCCATTGTTCATCGATTCGCTCGAGCGGGCCCAGTAACGTCTCCATTGGAGACTTTGTTGTTACTGTGTCTGGCATATCGAATACGTCACGGGTAGCTTGCCAGGCTCTGCCGTGCGGGAGAGATACTCTCGGTAGCTTGCCGGGCTCTCCGAGAGGGGCCGAGGAATCGAACTCGGGTTGGCCAGGTTGGCTGCATGCAAGGCAAATGGCCTACCCTGTGCTATCACTCCAGCTACATTTTGCAAAGGGCACTGTCAGTCCAACACAGATTATTTTCATTCTGCTCAAAGCTTGGTATGAAGATTCAAATTTGAGGGGCACCTGAACACAGGTGATGGATGACAGGCACTGGTGGAGGGATGGGCACTTGATCATTGTATAACTGAAACCCAAGCACAAAATTTGTAAGCCTATAACTGTACCTCATGGTGTGTCACTAATAAAAAAAGAAAAATAAATAAATAAATAAATAAATAAATAAAAAGCCATTTAAGGAAAGCCAGTTGCTCACATCAGTTTTTTTTTTCATCTGTGGGGTTGGGGCCACACCAGCTGTGCTCAGGGGGCCCCTATGCAGTGTGAAAGCAAACACTTTAAAATTGTGAGGGGCTGGAGCAACAGCACAATGGATAGGGCGTTTGCCTTGCACGCGGCCAACCCGGGTTCGATTGCCAGCATGCCATATGGTCCCCCAGCACCACCAGGAGTAATTCCTGAGTGCAGAGCCTGGTGTAACCCCTGTGCATCGCCGGGTGTGACCCAAAAGGAAAAAAAAATCATGATTAGTGGCATCAAGGGAGGTGTAAGTAACTACTGCAGTGATACCTGCACCCTCAATTCCCATTTCACCCCCTCTGGTTGTGAAATACAAACCTTTCTATCTTATCTTTAGGGACTACTGTGACTTGAACGTTGTCTCCACCCCGGCCCATGCTTTCACCTGCTGTATCCTTACAAAGCAGTGTGAAAGAGGCTGGCTGCTTCTCCCTGGCTCTGTGGAGATCTGCAAAAGAAGAACAGTCAGCCTGCATCCTAAAAGCTACCTGCCTCAGCTAAATCCCATTGCAGGTACACAGGGCCTTTTTTTCTTCAGAAGGAAAGGTTGTATGTCCTGTAAACTGGGATCAGATCACTAGCTCTCTCTTTTCTCCTCCTGTCTCGTCTCCCAGGGCAGAGTTGTGGAATCCCTTCTGGGAAGCCAGGCAGCTTTGAAAAGACTCAGGATTGACTTCAGTTTCCTGTGACAAAGGCTGGCATTCACAAATGACCCTCTCCGAGTTATATGACCTGGTGGGATAGGCAGGGGATACTGCTGAGAGCCTGAACTCTTCTTAGGGCTCGGTCTCCCACAGAACACCTGTACCACGGTGTTAGGAAAACATTCAGCAGTTACAGCCACGAATCCAACAGTCAGATAAATCAGGAACTGCTATCAAACCTATGAGACTTCTGAAGGGTCTCAGAATCTTCTAAAATCATATGGCCAAGTTAATGGGTATTTCTTAGGGAGAGACCATTCTCAGAGGGATCTACAACCTCAAAGGAGTTCATGATCTCTGTCAGGATGACTCTTGGAGATGATCTTCCAGTTGGGACCGATCTGATCCCTGAAATGTATGTCTGAATGATGTGCTCCCTTTAGAAACAGAACACTGGTCAGTAGAAATCACTTTTCCCCTACCGAGTGAAATTCCAAGCATATATATTCTCTTTAAGGTCAATGACATGGGCTAATTCCTCTGAAAGTCGCTTCAAATCGTGTGCCATGCTTTGTGCCCTGAAGTTTATGTTGTTGGTAGTTCCTAGTCTTCTCAACTAGTAATCAGTCGGTCAGCAGGGAGTTCTCCCTAGCTGAACTCACCCTGGCTCAACCAATAGCACATGCTCAAACCCCTGTCCTAGCCCCCACCCGCGCCCTCCTGGAAGCAGCCCAGGCCGTCCTACCTTCTCCGATAATGACACACTTGGCTGGATCGACCTCCCTGGTGTTGATGATCCCGTACATTTCATACCCGTGACACCGGCCGGCTTTCTCCTCCGGAAAGAAGCAGATCTTATCGTTCACTCCAGGATGTGCACTGTATTCGATCTGGTTCAGTTTTGTGAGCCGCTCAACCACCACCCCCTTGGTGATGAGGATCTCGAGGTCGGAGCCACTGGCCAGCAGGTGCTCGGTAAACTCCACCCCTGTCCGCGTATCTGCCAGCAGCTGCTCCAGCTGTGCCTTCTGCAGCTGCAGGGAGTTTTCTTTCTGGCTGCGAATGTCTTCCAGTTGCTTCAGCAGCCTGTCTCGGTGCTCCCCGATGGCTTTGATGTAGCCCTCGGAAAATGCCTGGATGTCAGCTGCCACGGCCTCCACTTGCTCCTGCAGGGCACTGCTGGACCCTTTGATCTGTGCCAGTGCTTCCTCCAGGGCTTCCACGTGGGGGTGGGTGCCCTTGAGGAGGTCCCGCACAGACTCCCCGTGCTTGTGGATGACGTTGCTGGTGAAGTCATAGGGGTGTTCCCGGTGCTCCCCCACCACACAGTCCCGGCACACGGGTCTGTCGCAGAGTTCACAGAACAGCCTCAGCTCCTCAGCAGGGTGAGAAGGACACAGAATGGGTTTCCCCACCCGGCTGCAGTCTTTCAAGTCTTTTAGGTCCACCATAGTATGGTGAGTCGTCTTCTTCTGCCGCCTAGAGGTAAGCAAAGTCAGAAACAGGCAATCATGGAAGGCTCCAACTCATGGCTGGTTTGGCCATTTGAACACATGGGTTCTGAAGTCCAATCTGAGTGCAGTTCCTTGCTCGAACCTCCCACTCACCACACAGTCCTCTGATCCCAGGGGGATGATGCCTACTGCCTAATGACTATTGTAGAGAAGTTGCTAGTCGACTAGGGTTACTCTGGCTTGTGACATAGCCTTGGAAGAGGTTATAGCATAAAAGACTATGGCCTGCTACTTCCTGGAACCTTCTCCAGAATTCATGGGGCATGTTTAGAAAAGACCGATCGTCAATTCCTACAGACAAGCAAAATGAGAGAGGTAGAGGAAATCAGTATCAAGAGACAGAAACTCTTCCACAGGCCACAGCAATAAACCCCAGGCAACTAAAAAGCAGTTTAAAAAGCTGTCCTTAAGATTCTGTAAAGTGTTCCCTTTTGACCAATGCCGACACCACCCATAGCAACAACCTACTAATTTTCCTTAAGCCAGCAACACGATTAGAGTGAAAGCAATGGTCAGAAGATTCAAAGCTCTCTTTGGATCCCTCTTTTCTGTCCACCTCAGCAAAGAATGTTACTGAAGCTATCTGAGCTTGTATGCCTTTTCTGGCATCAAGAGACTAACTGGAGAGAAAACAGGGTCAGCTGTTTAGTCTGAGGCATCATCACACAACTGCAAGCTAAATATAGAAATACTAAAGACTTTGACTGTGTTCTGTTGGTGAGGACAGGAAACAAGTGAAAGGTGGAACTTAAAAAAAAAAATTTAATTTAGTTCAAGAACCCTGGCTATTTTATATGCTGATGTCCTGGGATGGGAGGGTGAGCTGACAGGGGAACAGAGTGATTCATGTAGCAGCCTTCAGCTCATGTCATTTAAAACAATCTGTATCTCAATGAGCACTGGCCAGACCACTACACTGTGCTCAGGAGCCCTGCACAGGCCTGCAGCATGGAGTGGCAGAGAGCACAAGACAGTCCCAAGACCTGCATTTTAATGTAGTCCTTCTATGATCCACTTACCAACCGGGCAAGGGACCTGACGCATCATAAAGAAACCCTGAGTTTTACCTCCTCAAACAAAAACAGCATGAAAGCATCCCTCCTTGGGTGGAGTTGCAAGGATCCAGTGAGCTGGGGGTAGGGTTTCTGCAACTGTCATTCTCCTGTTTGCCCAGCACCCAGGACAGTTAGTTATTCACTAGGCTGGGAGAAACTTAGGAACCTATGACTTTGCTTGGATACCGGAAATGCAGCCCTTTGGGTGGGGATTTACAAATCCCCAAGAGCATCTGTTATCACATGGCAGATTGCTTTTTTGACCTCCCAGGGCCATTTGAGAAAGTTTTCCTTTCTATCCGCTCACTCAGGGAAGTTGTCTGTCCTGACCACCTCTTTGTACTCTGGCTCCTAAGTCACATCCCCTTCTCGTCATTATTACCTATGTGCCTGGCAGCAGAATTGGCAGAGATTGGCTTTGCAGGTCTGACATCTCTTCTCCACCTCCCTGTCGCTGCACAGGTCACACACCAGGCCCTGGCCTTCCCCGCGCAGACTCTGCAGCATCACGTCGTTCACGGCCAAGTGGTCTATGGTCAGGGCCTTCACGCCACCTGCGGGCAGGTCCACCTGCGCGTCACATACCGGGCAGAGGATGCCGACGTGCTGCTGTGGCTTGAGCCCCGGGGAGCCGGACCCCTCGGAGACCCAGTCGGGGTCTCCCCCTCGCAAGTCCACGACGGAGAAGGGTGCCAGCTGCTCCAGGCACTGGGTGCAGACGGTGTGCAAGCAAGGCAAGAGCCTCGGTGCTTTGAAAAGGCACATGCACAGGGGGCAGCGGGTCTTGCCCGCGTGTCCCGGCGCGGTCCCGCCGGGCAGTGTGCCCACGAGGGCCAGCGGCGGCTTCCGTGGCCTGGACATGCGTCCCCTCGGCAGCGCCTGGTCGCGGAAAGGGTTACTGGGCCCACCCAACGGGCACGCTCCCACACCGCGAGCCCCCGAGCTACAACTGGGCTCCGGAGGGGTCTCGGGCCCCCTCCCCTCCGCGACCCCCCCACCCTCCGGCCCGGGGGCGCTTCCAGGCGACCCCTGCACCTCCCAAGCCCCCACCCCACCCCCCGCGCGCCAGCCTTCCACGGGCCTCAAATCCAACGCGCGACAAGCGCCCCCGCCCCCCGCGTGGAGGCCGTGGGCGAAGGGGGCTCGCGGCGTCCGCAGGCGGAGCCCGGACCCCGCTCCTCCCGCCCGCCCACCCGCCCGCCGGGGTCTGCACCGCGGCGCCGGGCTGCAGGCGCGCCCCGCCCCTCGCGCATCCCGGGGCGCGCGCTGGCCGAGAAGGCGGGCCTCACCCTTCAGAGTGACACTCCCGGGGTCCAATAGGCTTCGAGGATTCCACATCCTCGCCCCTCCGGCCGGCGAGGCGGGGCGGGCACCTGGAGGCGCGGCTGCTGGGAGACGCGGCCCCGGGGGCGGGGGAGGTGAGCGGCAGGACCGTGTGCGGCATAGTATAGCAGCGTCACCATGCCACGGGGGCGGTCTCTCTCTTGCTGTGACCCTCAAAAGAGGCCAGAGGACCCTGAAAAAAATCCGCGGGAGGGCTACTGACAGAGGCTGCGCGTCTAAGCCCTCGGATTGGCCCGACGCCTCGGACTGGGCGTTCCCATTGGTGGGCGGCCCTGTCAGTCAGCTCCGGAACTCCGCCCAGCCCGGAGGTTCCTGTAGGAGGAGGCGGGGCTCGCGCGCCGGAAGTCACCTGGCCGGGCTGCGGCTCTCCCTGGGGCAGGTGTGCGCGTGGCTCTTACCCTGTGCCTCTCTGGTCTGTTGTGGTTCTACACTCCTTCGAGGCCCAGAGTGCCCTTGCCAAGGGTTCCAGCGGCTAATTCCGGGCATGTTCAGTTGGGTTGGGCCCATCCCTTTCCAGTCTGATCTAGAGACCCTTGAACCCAGGACCACTGAAGTGAGCCCTTGAGCTCCCAATTCTTTTGGCACTGGCCAGCCGTTGTCCCTTGGCCAGCCATGGGACAAGGGTATGGATGAGCAAAGGAATTGGTGACAGTCCTGGAACTCTATCCTCATCTGTGAGGGACACGGGTCTACTTGGTCTCTGGCTTGGTCACCTCTCAATGATGAGGTGTCCTGCAGGTGGTCACAGTGGGACAGTGGAGGAGGCATAAGAGGAAGAAGCCATGTGGGCTTGCAATCTAACTGGGGAGATGAGCTCATTGGCGCCTTTTTGCTGATTTGTTTTTGGACTCCTCCTTTAACTGTCTTTCCCAGGATTCTCCTGATTGTACCATGTGGAGGTTTTCGAATACCTGGGTTTTCCTACCTACATCCCCAAACTTCTATGAATGCTCACACTTAAGCTCCTTACTCTTCACTTATTCTCAATATTCGTCCATCTGTCGAGGATGCCTGTGTGTCACTCTGACTGTGGTCAGGACCTTCTCGCTTGGGTTTGGGACTCATTGATAGCTACCCATTTGTCCATTTCTTCTCTATAGACATAATGCATGCGACCTATGTTTTAAGAAGGGAGGAGGGGGAATGAAAAACCAAAGTTGAACCTATAAAAATATTTTCATATTTCATAAAATGCAGGAGGGAGAGGAGGCAGGAGGTGGAGGGGGTGGGATGGAACCAGAGGGAGAGGAGGCAGGAGGTGGAGCTGGGGCTGAGGGCACCTGCGGTCCCGGATGTGGGTGATCCATCATAGTGCCGCCTCTGGCCACGAGTCACAACCCACTTGCGGTGCAGCTCCCACACCCTGTCTATGAACGTGTGCTGCTTTTTATTCTCATTTTTAAATATTTTATAAAATACTTATTTAAAGGGCTGGAGCGATAGCACAGTGATGGGGTGTTTGCCTTGCAAGCGGCCAACGTGGCCGACCCGAGTTCGATTCCTCTGCCCCTCTTGGAGAGCCCAGCAAGCTACTGAGAGTATCTCGCCCGCAGGGCAAAGCCTGGCAAGCTACCCGTGACGCATTCGATATGCCAAACACAGTAACAACAAGTCTCACGATGGAAATGTTACTGGGCCCGCTCGAGCAAATCGATGAACAACGGGAGGACCGTGATACCGTGATACTTATTTAAAAATATTGTATAAAATGTAGTGTAAATGTTTTATTTCATAAATATTTATTTTAAACATTTTATAAAATATTTAAAGTTTTTACTTTGGAGTGATAGCACAGCGGGTAGGGCATTTGCCTTGCACGTGGCCAGATTGGCTGACCCAGGTTCGATTCCTCTGCTCCCTCAAAGAGCACAGCAAGCTACCGAGAGTATCTTGCCCGCACGACCAAGCCTGGCAAGCTACCCATGACGTATTCGATATGCCAAACACAGTAACAAGTCTCACAATGGAGATGTTACTGGGCCCGCTCGAACAAATCTATGAGCAACGGGAGGACAGTGACAGTGAATATGAATAAGTCACGAGTCACATTTCTTTAAAAAATGACACGGACTTTCCAAAACTCAGCATGTCTACACAGAGGTCTTAAAAATAGTTCTTATTTGGTTTGCTTTAGCTTCTTGAGCTTCTTGATACCTACTCATACTCAGAATCTGTTTTTTCCACTCCAAGGTGCTAGAGGAAACCACAGAACTGCGTACTTGGGTCTGCTGTATATCTTGCTCGGAACATAACCCTAACCCTACCAGTTGCTTGGCATTGCTTTGCTTCATATCTTATCTTATTCATGCTCTATCACATTTCCCAAGATGTTATAAACTTCCCTTGTTTAAGAAATAGTTTATAATTTACATGTACATTATCTCATTTCATCTCACATTCCCTCCCTCCCCCACTCCCGCCTCTCTGGGTATCATAGAGAAGCAGCCAGGGTCATCCCCTGGCATGTGATGGTGTTAGAGATTAAGCCTATGAGGTTTTTTTGTGTGTATGTGTGGGCAGGCACCTTATGCCACTAAGCAGTCTTTCAAGTTTTTCATTTACTCTTCTAACACTTCAGTGAATGAGCTGTCATATGGAAGTCTATTGGGGCTGTGACCCAAAAGGTGCTGCGATGGAGTACTTAACATTACACGTGCAAAGCTCTGGGTCCCACCCCCAACACCACATGCCTCCCTAACCCCTCAGCCCAAGCACTGTGGCTATTGCTTGGTGGCCTCTGAGCACTGTCAGGAGGGACTCTCTTCCCATTCCAAATAAAGGAGAAGAAGAGAATGCAGTATTGGATTCAGTGTACTTTGTTCTCAGCATCTTGTTTGACACAGAGTAGATCCATAGTTACTCAGAAATATGAGAGGGTGGGGGAGAAAGTCTGATAGCTAGCCCAATGTCTGAAACCTAAGATTCTACCCCTTTTACTTTTTCAGTTTTGTAAGTATAGAATTAGATACGGATCAGGCAAACTTTATGTACTGAGAAAAGCAAGACTACACAGAGAGTGCCCTCAGTTTGCACTGAAAAGGCTACAATTCGGGGCCTGGGAGCCCCAACCAAACGTATGACTCAGGGCAAGTCCTAGAACCAAAATGTGTGTGAGTATGGCAACTAAGTGTGTAAACACTGAACTTAGTGTATATGGACGCTGGTCACCCCCCAAACAGCAATAAGTGGAAAAAATAATCTAAGGATTCATCATAGCTCTTTTTTCATCTCTCCTGACTGCCTTTCTTCTGACCAAGGTTAACTACTAAAAACCTCATCTGTTCTTTAGCTCAACTTTTCCTGCCCCCTCAAAATTGTGCAGTGCCAGGCCTGAGTGACAATCTAGCAGGGAGGGTGCTTGCCTTTAATGCAGCCAACCCAGGTTTGATCCCCGGCACGACATCTGGTCTGGCAGTTTGCTTGAAGTAATTCTACAGAGCCAGGAGTAACCCCTGAGCACTTCTAGGTATGACTCTTAAGCAAAAACATAATGTGGGGTTGAAATGATAATACGGTGGGTGGGATATGTGCCTTGCACATGGCCGACCCAGGTTCAATCCCTGGTACCCATATGGTCACTCAGCTTGCTTGGAGTAATTCCCCAACCACAAAGCCGGGAGCAACCCCTAGGCATCATCACTGGTGTGACCCCCCAAAAATTGCGCAACGCCGAGATTTTCAGTTAGTCCTGTACTATCCTGGGGCTCTGTTTTATTCTGTTTTTATGGAGAGCTATGGTTAAATCCTGAAGAGGCAAATAAATCCTCCCTTTACAGTACTGAATTTCAATTTACTGCCTTTGTTACTTTCTCTGCTACATTTCTCAGAAGAAGTTTCACTTTCTACTTTTAACACCATATGGTCACTGTCACCATCATCTCCCATTGTTTTTCTCCCTCCTCAAATAAACTAACTTTGACTTCTTTCCTATTGAACCTTTCCTCGGGTAGATCACAAGTGACCACTCACTGCTCTTTTCTCAGTATAAAGCTTTTCCACGTTTCACCATTAGTAGCACTGTAGCACTGTCCTCCCGTTGTTCATTGATTTGCTCAAGTGGGTCCAGTAACGTCTCCCTTGTGAGACTTGTTACTGTGTTTGGCATATTGAATACGTCACGGGTAGCTTGCCAGGCTTTGCTGTGCGGGCAAGATACTTTCGGTAGCTTGCTGGGCTCTCTGAGAGGGGCAGAGGAATCGAACCCTGGTCGGTCAGGCCAGCCGCATTAGTGCAGACATTTATTTTTCTAACAATTAGGAGTATTCTAGGAATCATTTTCTTTTTTTTTCTTTTTCTTTTTTAGTACAAATTATCTTTTTATTAAATCACCATGAATTACAGAGGTACAAAAATATTCATTAGTGAGGCTGGAGAGATAGCACAGCAGCGGGTAGGGTGTCTGCCCTGCACACAGCCAACCCGGGTTCGATTCCCAGCATCCCACCAGGAGTAATTCCTGAGTGCATGAGCCAGCAGTGGCCCCTGTGCATTGACGGGTGTGACCCCCCCCCCAAAAA